GTCTTGAAAATAGCTCCTCCCTCCTGCAGGGTGTCAGAGCCATTTAGATCATCTGGATCCTATTGGATTCCAGAATACTCTAAGGGATTTGGGAGCCCTGTCAGCAAATCAGCCAAAGCCTTTGTTGGATCCTGGAGTTTCCACATCTGCGGGGTATATAGAGCTGCTTCCTGTCATCTTCTCCTGACCTCAAATAGGAACTCTACATGGCTTTCTATAGAGTTGGATAATTTGAAACAAGCCAGTAGAAATCTAGAGTAACAGTGGCAAAAAATTGGGCTGAATATGAGATGAATACGCTGTAGAAGGCATTTGAAAACATATGGGGTACTGGTGACAGCAGCAAAGAATTTTCACTTCCCCTCTATTGTTGCATCAGCTGAACTGCATCTGGCTCAGTTGTATCAGGTAATTTGGTATTTGACTACTGCTGTGTGGGAGTCCCAAAATGTGAGGAAATTAGGTATTATCTTCTGCAGTTATTTGCTGGTAAAAATCTCATAGATGTGCTTCAGCTTCAATACCATATTGTCAGTGGATCAGAGGACAGATGTTTCTGAAACATTATCCTTTTTTGTATGGATCATTTCGGTCAGGTACCTATGATCTATGTCAACAAGGTCATGGATGCTGTGAAGGCTACCACTATCACTGTAGTTTTGAAATATTTCCAGGAGGCATTAAAATGGCTATTTAGGGATATTATTAATGCTTCTCTTTCTCAAAGTAATCCAAAGCACATTATATATAGAGTCCTTTGCACAGTGCACTCCCAGTTATAAGCAATGATATAATAGGTCTGGAGGTATTGCATGCATAATGTCAACATATAATGGTGGAACACATCACATTCTCTGGCAACAATGAGCACATGTTTTACAGGAAATGTGGCTTTGAAAGGGTGTTGCCCTGCCCACAATGATAGAAATTTTAAAAATTAGCTGTATATAATTTCAACATGAAAAATGACAGTGCACATTTTCAACAAAATCTATGGCTGTGGTGCCTTTCTCATGTGCTAAAGTTTGTTGATCTAGCATGGAATGACAGACATGCATGCAAGCTGTAACACAGAAAGTTTAAACAGAGCTGACTGTTTTTTTCCTAGGGACCTTGAAGACTTCATTTTTTGTTGGGAATTAATGTGTACAGTGGCTGCTCAGCCTAAGTTTCTACTTGCCATTTAATTGGCTTGGGAGTTCACCAGAAGTGGGACATTTATAGGTACAAAACTCTTATAATGACCAATTTTGAGCCTTTACTCCCCACTACTTTTGATCGTGGACTTCAGTTATCACCAAGTTTTTATATGCTAATTATCCAGTATTTCCAGGACAAAAAAGTTGAGAAGGGGGTATATAAAACAAGCAGCAGTTTATAGAAGATAAGTCAAGCATTTCTATTTATCTTTGCTAATAATTCTAGAAGAAAGGGCCAGTCCATATAAAATTGGCAATCTTCAAGTTACCCTTTTGGAGCAATGTCTCCCACCTCCGCCAAGAGCTGTTGACCATGCCTAGGTAAAATATTAGACTCTGAAAGAATTTAGGCTCAAAATAGTTAGACGACTCTCTAATGTTCTTTGGGAAAGCATTCCCCACCCCCCAAAAACCTACTTTTTAATCAGTAATATCTTTTTCAGAAGTCGTGGGAGGTTGTACCTGTATGTGCATTATAATTTATTAATTGCAGTTTGAATTACCCCTTGGGTGGGAAACTGTGGTGAAGGCTGAAAACATGTAAGGCTGACTTAGTATGGTTCCCTTTATTAATTTAAAAAAAAAAACCTTTTTACAACTTTCTGCCTCCCACCTTAGAGCAATAAATTCCCACCTTGAGGAAATAATTTCCTTGTTGTACTCCACACAGAGAAGTTTTGTTAGCCACAATCCTGGTTATGATGTAGACTCCATTAATCTGGCTTTTGGTTTGAAAGTACACAT